AAAAAAATAAATCATAACTAAATTTATGCTATTTTTAAGTTAAAATTGTTACATGAACTCTACAGTTTAAGGGATAACAATTTCATTATACGATATAGCTATAAATAGTAAGAAGGCATTGTTAAATTATTTGATTATTATAAACCATAGTAAGTTGTAAATATAAAAAAAAGGTGTAATAATTCAAATCATCCAGGGCGGCTCCAAAAAGAGCAGTAACGTAATTTAGATATTTAGTCTGCTTCAAAAGTTTAAATTTGTCTAAAAATTAATTTCTCAATTTTTTGAATCTAAAAAAAAAATAAAATTAAACCCACTTCGGTAAAATTAGTTAGTAAAATTAGTCTGGAAATATTTTTTTATAATACTTAACGGATGACAGTAGTTTCGTTGGCTTTAATATATAGAATTTTTGGTTGGTTGTGCCAAAAGCCACGTTATTGCATTTTTGGGGCTGCCCTAAATGATTCTAGTAATTCATAATATAGAAAATATAAATTAAAATTAGTTTCTTTAATAAAATAAATAAGTTCAATTCAAATAATAAACAACAATATTATTAAGAAACAGACCTTAAATAACTAACCCGAAGTTATCACCGACAAACATATATGGCCAAACATTGTTATGAAAATAAAATTATTGTTGATCAAAAACCGGAAGATCGTCTAAAACCAAATTAATAACTAAGAAATTTGTAAGTTAAAAGAAATCACATAATGCATATAAATTACTATACCGGGATTAGATGATCACCGATTTGAATAATGCTAATGTGTCATATATTGTTGAATGCTGGATAATAGGAGTCATGATAGATGGAAATATGGTGTTCATTTATTAATAAAGTGAATACAATATGTCTGAATGGTATTTGAAAAAATACTGAAGGTTGTTATAGTTATTGTTTAGGCACCAATAAAGACGATGATAAGACTTTCACATAGTAGATGGATTGATAAATTGCATCATACTAATAGAGTATATAGACTGAGATATCTCAAACATAATATCGAAGTTAAATAGTCTATTTGGAGAAACTCAACGTTAAAGATTGATATATTCATTCCTGAAATAAGTCTTGCTTTATGTCCGTCCATGTGTTCTAATTATTACTCATTCCATTTATTCAACACCTTTCTTGATACAAGAGAAAAATTAACTTAGCTTTTAATAAGTTTATGCAACGTCAAATTCTAAGCGGTTAGTTCTTCATGTTCTGAACCCGATCAGTTTGGTTGCACTATAATATATCAAAAAATTGTTTTCAATGAAAATAAAAAATTGACCTCAACAAAATAAAGAATTAAGAAAAATAAAATAACATTAAACTATAATAATAATCCAATACTTATCAAAAATATCTGGTTTCGTGGTATTCACAAATTACTCTATATCGATAATGATCTACTAAAAGGAATAAGTAAAAATGTCCCAAAACAAAAACAAATTAAAAATATTTGCTCTGAAGGGCAGTTTATGCCAAGAAGAAAAAACTAGCTACTCATTGACTCCAGTCCACATAAACCTTGATCCATTCTATCCTCCATTATAATAAATCGAAATGAAAAGAAAGGAGCCTGGTACTTATATTTGGAGCGTATAGGGTTGAAGTTTGAAGTTAAACCACGACAAGAGAGGTATTAAGCGATCTAACTTGAAAGAAAAGAATAAAAATAATGCTCAAAACAAAAATAAAAAGCAATTTGAAAGAATTCGCAAAAAAACTACTTATCTGGAAGTTTAATGTCCAAGCGAAAAGAACCCTAATTGAATGAATCTCCAAGTTGAGGTTTAATTAATAGTGATATATAAATAAAATAAAATAGAATAAAACATCCAAATGATATATAAAAAAAATGCCGATGTAGTAACTAGTAACTTGAATAGACGATGAAACCTTGGACTCTGCGATGTATACCTATTCAAATTAATTATAGAAATGAGAATATCGATAACGCTAAAATGATGAAAGTGAAACGTTCAAATAATATTAGAAATCTGCTAACGTAGGACATATTCATTACCAAGGTGAAGTTGGTGTTGATGAACTGAAGTGTTCATTATTAGGACTGGTTAAAAGATTCCTAGATACTACTATAAAAATGAAATGTTCAGTATTTGTGAGCACTATCGATGTGAAAAGTAAGAATACCAAGTATTCATTTAATCTGAAAGCTGCTAAGATCATAGGAAGACATTCATATGATTGGTTAATTTTTGCCGATCTACCCATGATTGCCTGTGATAATTAACCAATCA